ATTTCAGCAAGTAGCAGCAATGGGGTCCACTCCATATTATTCATCTATCTCGAAAAGTGGACTAATATTAAAAAATGTCCATCGAACAGATCTCTTATATTCTGGAAAGAGTAGTAGTTGTTTTATTTTGCTCCCAAAGTCACTACAGTAGCAACGGGTCTGTTGTTGGTTGAGCACGATCTTTCAAAGAAAAAATTATTATATGTATATTTATTATATATTATATGTAAATTGGTTAGTTCGAATATATAGGAGGAAAGTCTCCAACATGTAGGTGACCTCTTTGATAATATAGTAAGTCGTGCGGTCATCTCCTACAAAGTCAATATAAACTCCTCAAATTCAGTTAAAAATTATTATTTAATTTCATTTTAAGTTCTTTCATCAGAAACAAATATATGTTGTATCTACTTAAAGCTTATACTTTCCGTCACAGTCTGTAATGACGTATCCGTCGATTTTACCAAATCTCCTATAAAACAAATTGAACATGTCTACTCTGCCTCAGATAGAGTCTTTCAATGGTAGCCGTTTTAAGGCTAATTAGTCTGACATTCATAAAAACAACTCATTTTCAGCAAAGAGAATTAACATAAGTACATTTTTGACTTCATCCTTTTGTTTCTATTTTATGCGTAACCTGTAATGAAAACTCGCTCTAGCGATTAGGCTTTGATTGACTATTCAACATAGCAGAAATTAAAATTTTAAATTTATTAAAAAATTAATTTTAGATTCAAATATGAATCAGCTTAAATACTACTACCAAATTTTGGTAAATACGTAAAATTAACATGCCGCACAAAACGGTTAAACTGTCCCAGCGGCACCACTTGGTTACTGAGTCACAAATTTCAAAGCGAAAAAAGCCGTCAAGCATAGATAAACACACAAACGCGTGCATGCGTGTGTGATCTTGTAAAGAAATTATAATTCACTTATCGCTTGTGATCAAGCTCATTTACATATGTCTTGTCAAAACTATAACAAAATCGAATTAAGTTAAGCAAATAATGGCGATCAAGCGAAACAAGTTGTGAATAATTTTTTAATTTGTATACAAAATTTGGCGCGATAAATGCTAATGCGTTTCCAGAATATTTCGAATATAAATTGTTTATTTAACAGTTTAATGAACAGCGCAGAGCTTAGACTACTACGATAATATGCTAGATTGGCGACGTGTGCTCAAGCTGGTGTGTGGAAGAACGCGCCGAGCAGGTTTAGGTTGACTGAATTCGGTGTTACTACTCCAACAGGCAGCTATGGGCCGCCAGCGCGCGACTATGAGTGGTTTGTATTGTTGTTTTTTTATTGTGTATGGCTTTGCTGGCGAGCTGATGGAAATTCCCACCCGCAATTCATTCATAGATACTTTCATGAGTTGCTGCCACAAAAGAAAGAAAACAAACCTCTTGAGTTATAAATTTGTACAGATACGCGTACATATGTAGATGTACCTGTACATATTATTATATAGATATATTATATGTGTATATACATATGCATGTCAATTACTACTATAATCTACTAATATATGTTATGATTCTTGGTACAGCTAATTCCCTGTGTGAGGAGTTATTGATCGCATATTATTACGTGCGTACGCTTTGCTGTTGTTGCAGCGTGATTTTTTTGGGGGGATTTTCCAGGACGCGCATTGCGCGTGCAGCATTGTCCTCGCTTTTCACTGACACACATGCCTGCGAAGGGCGCGTTTAATGTATACTAAGCGGTGAAGGTGTCTCGTTGTAATTTTTTGTTGCTGGATTTTGAATGGCTGTCTTTATTGCGACTGCGGCGGCGGCAATTGTCACTGATCCACTCATAATTTCATAGCAAAGCGTCGAATTTTCCGATTTTTACGCAGCGTGAACATACAAACACAGAAACACCTATACAAATGTATGATATTTATATATATATATATCTATAAAATATATATTATATGTATATATGTATTAATGTATGTGTGTGTATGCATGCACTGCAATGATTTCTTATCAGCGCCTCGAGATCTCGGGTCATGCACGTTTGGGCTCATAGCTCATCGTGGCAAGGAATTAAACTCAATTACCCCCTGGCGTGTGCTAAAGAATATTTACGAATTTCTACATGATTGGTGTCTTAGTATTTTTCTTCGATTTGTTTTTTTTGTTAATTTTTTCTTACGTTTTGCCTACCTTGCCACTCCACTTAGCGACTTCGATTTCGTCTGCATACTTAATGCGATAAGATTTTAATCTAACAAAATTTAGCTGCACAAAAACTAAGTTTTCTAACTATTTACGTGTGCGTGTTGTTGTAACTTTGTAAATTGTTTGTAGCTCAGTTATAGTGCAACATTAGTGTTGCACACACGATACTATTGTACGTGGCGAGCATCATAAATTTCCGTTTAGTTTTAGTTTATGCGGGTTCTGCATGCTTCTTCTACTTTGACGGCGTTGCTTGCAAGCTGCTTGGATGCTTGTTAGCTGAGCTGTTGATTATGAATTGTTGCTGTGATTTGGCGTAGTTTTGAAAGGTGGAGAACACAGGTTATATATATTACATACATAGTTTTATATATATTTATGTATGTTTGTGTTTGTGTGTGCAACAGTTCGTTCTCATACACGTTTCATTTCTTTTTGAAGTTTTGTTTTTTTCTTTTTCGTTAATAATTTTTTATGAATTCTCCAGTTTTAAGCGACACCCATCGCTTTGTTTGAGATAAAAATCTTTAAAACTCGACAGCGGAAATGAAATTTATTACAAGAAATACTTTGGTATTATTCAACACACTGCATACCTTATATGTATATTTTATTTTGGGTTTTTAAGTGCTCACAGAAATTATGGCAAACGATCATTTAGTAAATTGATAGAAAAAACACATTTTTGTCTCAAAAGTGCCGCTGCCTTCGTTTCTTTTCCCCCAGCTCGTATGCAGTAGAAACATTTTTTGGTTAATTTTTTATTGTTGTTGTAAAATTTTGATTGCATATTGCACAGTAAATTGAGAAATGTTTAGATACATACATACATATGTCGATAAATACCACCAATCAACTAAGCGTGCGCGCGGAGTTCTCAAAAATGACTTGCATGAGAAAATTATGAATACAAAGCTGTAAGCAATTTATTGGTTTCGATTTTTTGATTAGTTATTGATAAAACACTGCGTTCAAAAATTTAAAGAAAAAACACGTTCACTTCGATTGCACCGTATCTAAATTAACCTTCAAAGGAACATTTCTTATAGGTCAGTTTGTGTGGCAGCTATATGCCTTAGTGCTCTCATATCGGCGATTCCGACAAATAAGCAGTTTTTTGGAGAAAAAAGAACGTGTGTAAAATTTTAAACCGATATCTCAAAAACCTCGTGTATATATAGAGGGACGAACAGACGGACATGGCATAATCGACTCAGCTTGCTACGCTGATCATTTATATTTAAACCTTAAAGGGTCTCTGACATTTCCTTCTGGGTATATCAAACTTCGTGGCAAACTTAATTTACGCTTTTAAGGGAATACAAATGCTTTTGAGTCGCTTCAATAAAAAAAAAGTGTGCTCACTACTAAACTAACGCAGTGAAATTACATGAGCAACATTTCAGTTACAAAAACAATTACCAGTATTACAACAAAATAATCATTCAACTTACACTCACAAACCAGGGACTTTCCAAATTTTGCCCAGCAAAACAATATTTTAAAGTCAATAGTTCGATTCAAGTCTGTTAATACATGCTTGTAGCTGCTTTGATTATAATCCTTGGGAATTCCCAGAACTCTAATTTTAGCGGTAGTTGCAATATGTAATTTTTTTGATTGTATTTGTTAATTACAGCGCTGGGTATGAGCTCAAAAGCGCGTAATAAACTCAGTTATGGCATAAGAACGCCTACCAAAAATATTTGCATGCATAAATGTGAACACACACACAAACATACAAATGTATATCTGAGCGCTCGCCACAGATTTATATAGCATAAATATGTACATATGCATGAATGTATATGTGTGTGTGTAGGCAGAGGAAAAGTAAGTAAAAAGGATATGCCTTGCGTTTGGCCCTTACGCGAAATCATTCAGTGAATACGCGGAAACACCGCGCCACTCGCGCTGTACCTGTTACATGCGGTGCTGCACTTGTGTGTGGGTAAATACGCAGCTGCGCAAGTGCAACAGTGGCACGACACAATGGTGAATTGCATTGCAGCAGGTACCATTCTGCTGCGCGATCATTGCGAGGGGTTCTACGAGTGCTTGTGCATTAGTACAATTGTTGTTTTTGTTGTGAGCAGACGTTATGTTTTCTGTGTGTTTGTGAGCGAATATTTGGAGTGTGGTACAGAGAGCAGTAGTGGCTGAAATGCTTGAATGCTGCGCATTTTTGTATTGGGAGCATGAGATACAAGCGAAAATATTGAGTAAATTAATTTATTATAATTTTGATATTTACAAAACTCATTGAGTTAGCAGTTGAGTGACATTTTACATGACTTTGAGTGCAATTTGAGTGCTCAGAATTTCTAGTAATTGAGTAGCACACAACAGCTAGTTGCACGCCTCTACCGCAAGTAAGCGCCCATTTCCAGCTAAATGCGCACGCTCCCACTCGCTCTCGCAGTCGCGCTGAGCCTGTGTGCATTGCTAGCCAACAAATCGGCGGATATACACGAGCGCTCCCAGCAATACCAGCACCACCAACAACGTTACTACATATAAAACACCCAACGCGCGTATTGCACTTGTTCGCTCGCGCTCACCACGCACCACTCGCTGCTCAATCACTCATACAAGCGTATTTTTGCTCAATGCTCTTTGTACTAGCGCATATAGTTTTCGTTTCGTGTATATACTTAGTTGGCTAGCTAATGCCAAGCACTCGGCATTTGCTATTCAACCGTTTAGTTGGCGTGTACTCGTTCGCATTTTACATTCGTTTCGAATCCGTTGTTAACCCTTTGACTAACGCTGAGCAATTTCCATGGTTTTGTATCGTTTCAGAGTTGAAAGCGACCATGCGCGCATGGCTTCTACTCCTCGCAGTGCTGGCGACTTTTCAACCGATCGTTCAAGTTGCTAGCACCGAGGATATTACTTCGAGTTTCATACAGGCGATATCTCCATCAACAATAGAGGAACAACAAAACCAACAACAGCAACTGCAGCAAGACTTATTTGAATTGGAGAAGCGTCGCGACACGCGTACAATATACAACAATAATAATAAAAACAATAACAATAATACGCAACAATTAGTGACGGCAAGTAGACAATTAACGGCAATAAGCCCAGTTATCGATATAACAGCGTTATCAGTGAGAAAAACAAGAACACAAACAAAAACAACAAAAGCTAAAACAGCGATCGCTGCGATCTTCAGCTACAATCGGCGCAGTGATAGTGATAATTATATAAATAACGGTAATAATTTAAATCAATTTAGTGCAAAGGATAATAAAGCAAACGGAAGTGGTGAAGCAAGCAGTGACGCAACAAAAGCAATTGTTGCAGTGAAAAAGAAGAGCAACAAAATCAATAAACAAATTACAAAAAATCAAAAACACAACGAAGTGAACGATAAGCAAAATAATTTAATAGAAATTACGGAAAGCAAAAACAACAAGAACGCAGTGCAAGTGCAACAATTAGCAAATAGTAGCGATAAAACAAAAAGCGAACAAGCAACAACAACAAAGAGTACTAAAAAGCTTAAAGCAACAGCAAGTGCAGTGTTAAGTGAACAAGTGGAAGTAGAAGCAGAAGAAGAAGAAGCGAAAAGCGAAATTAAAACTCACAATAAAATGGCTATACAGGAGCATACATTAGCGACAGCGCAGGAGCACAGCAAGCGGCATAGAAATCATAAGCAACAACAACAACACAGACATCAGCATAAGCAGCAATATATGCAACAGCAACAACAAGATATGCAGCAACAACACAGAGCTGCAGCCGCAAATGCGGAACAACACAGAGCGACGGGCGCGAGCGAGCGTTTAGCGACGGCGGAACGCTTGGCCGCAAATGAAGCAAGCGCCACAGCCACTACGACGCATCTAGAAGCCGCTGAAAAACTAGCGCAAGATGCCAGCCTCGCCGCTAACACACCTGCTACAAGGACAAATGCTTCCAGTGATGCATTCAGAGCGTCGGATGGCGACATTGCTGACGATAGCGAGAATGACGAAGGCGAAAGCGATGTCACAGAACCCGCCACATACAGTAATAAGGAGATTATCGGTGATAAATTGAAACCCGATCCCTCGACGCTAGTCCAAATCGAGAATAGCCTGTTGTCGCTATTCAATATGAAGAGGCCACCAAAAATTGATCGTTCCAAAATTATCATACCCGAAGCGATGAAACAATTGTACGCGCAAATTATGGGTCACGAATTGGATATGGAGACTATACGTAGACCGAGTATGCTGTCACGATCGGCGAATACAGTACGAAGTTTTACACATATAGGTGAGTTAAAAAGACGATTATCAACTTAATATATATTTATAATTATTATGGTAGATTAAATATAAATTTGTATATTTTGATTTTGAGATTAGCTAATTTGAAAATTTCCAATAGCATAGCTTTCCGCTGGTCCAATGATACCTTACCCCTTTTGTATATGCTATGACTCGGCTGCTAGATTTTTAATAGGGATAAAGTAAAAAGCTCTACTTATCCTAAAACAACTTTTGTAGTTTCCATACACTGACGATATGCGGTGCCCAGCAAAAAATTATCTACCACTTGAAAGACGAATTCCGAAGCTTCGAGAAAATCAATATTTGAATATAGTTTTCACTGACTAGAGTCAGACAGCTACAATGAGTAATGATGGATTCAGTGTTAATTTAGTGTGTTTGTTCTATTAGAAAGATTTATAACCGCTCTTCCGAAGTGATAACCGAAGCTGTTTTATACGTATAAAAGTGAATTTTATTATAATTTTAGTTGTTTCACTCACAAACAGTATTCATATTATAATATAAATTAGAAATGTGTTTTCAAAATTTAAGAAGGTTGAGTCTAAGTTAAGTGGCTCTACGTAATCTCGTAATCAGATTTAGCAATGCATTCGAGGTTTTTGGGCACCAAAGCTTTATTATCTTGTCATCAAATAGCAAACGAACGCTTGGAGCTCCAAATTCGCATATTAAACCGACTTAAAAGATGTGTACTCGTATAAGGAGTGAAAAAATTAGACCTATGCCAATATTTTTTTGTTTAAGATAATATAATTAATTGCTAAATTAACAGATTTACAATCATAAGTATATGTTATATATCTTGACTTTAAGAATAACGTAACAAGATTGAAGACAATTTTCAGAGTTCTAGACATTAAAATTATAATAGCCTATTGCCAAAAAGCAAAAGAACGCCAAGAGCTCCAAATTCGGCAAGTTAACCGACTTCAGTGGGGTTTTCAAAAGGCTAAAAATTAGACCTATACCAATAGTTAAAAATGGTTAATATATCCCACCTAAATTAGGAAATAGACTAAACATTTTTTATCTTAGAATTTTCCTAAACATTTCCAAATAATTTTGGCGAAACATTTCTATTGGCCACTACTTTATACCTAAGTCTAAAAGAAAGTAGTAAACCCAATTTAAATGTTTAAATTTCTCAGTTGAGGCAATCCCATCGATTTTTTAGAAAAATAATGTAATTCGTCTCAGAGGCAAAACTGCATGATTGGATATCATTTTGAAAAACATTCCGGATATATTTTAACTTTTTAAATGATTTTAACCTCAAATTATAAAAACCCAATTCAATATTTCTTAAGGCATCCATAGGCGTTTCTTAATTGCATAATTATGTGATTTGGAATGATGAAGTTTGCAACAGTTCTCCAGAGAATTCCATTATACGCCATTATACGATAAAAAAATCTCAACTCTAAAATATATTGAAGCAAAAAGAATCAACTGTTACACAGTCGCACGGTATCTCACGCAAAACACGCACGAATTCAGCAGACTATGTGTGCCACAATCTAACGAGGCCACTTCAAGTACCTTTATTTCGGTGATTTATCTAAAGAGCAGCACCTTCACAGCTCGAATGCGGAATTGTTTTGCGCGCAATGACCTTGAAACCAATTCAATGGAAATGCCACATAAATACACACACATATACCATCTCTATATATAGTGTATAGATGAGTGCCTTAGAATAATACAAAGCACTTGTTCTGCAGCACAGTTTAACTAATAACAGTTATTACAAAGCATATTTGCGAACACGAAAGCAAATGCTAAAGATTTCAGATTTCAAACAGCACAAAATGGCTCGAGTCACAGCGACCGTTAGGCCCACCAAAATACCCGCTTACCTGTTGTCTTGCTGCGAAATACAAGTGCTACGTGCAACATAGCAACAAAAACGAGCGGAACGGAGACAAAACGGTGCACGGCAAATATCTTGTACCGCTGGCATATATGGCGTCGTGTGTTCGTGTATGTGTGTGCGCGTGTATTATGCACGGGGCGATCCTTTCATTTACCGCTTAATGCAAAATCCTTAAAATCCTACTGTGCATTCGAGTGCTGGCCCATTGTGCTGCGGTACTTGAGTGTCTCTACGAAAGGTGTTTGTAACAAATTCCAGCAGCGTTTGTTACCTATGGCGGATTCCCGCTTAGATTTCAAGTACTGCGCATAATTTGTTATTGTTCGTGTCGCTTTAGTCAGCGGTGTTGACTGCAGCGACATCGGCGGGGGTTGCCAACTCATTGCAATTGTAGTCGAAACGGCAGACTGTGGGAATATGTGAATTTAATTGTTTTGAGTGTATGAGTGTTTTACAACTCACCAGCTGCTGAGTGTGACGCAAAGTGCTCAATAGTGTGGCAATTGCAGAGATGCCGTATTATCCGAATGGATTTTAATGGATCCTTTGATGTAGAGATTGCGCAAACTGAGACCGTTTACTAATATCCAATTCGCTTCGAACGAATTAGTGTCTCTTCATAAAACTCCAAGTTGTTCAAATCTCTTGAGAGTATGAAGTTCTCATTGATCTTTCGAGCTCCAAACGATCTGAAAAGTCTAAATATTAAGTTTTCTCAAGCGATTGAAGTTTCAGTTATTTTTCGAAGACTAACCGATTGCAATCTTGTGAAAAAAATCTAAACCCCTAAATGTACGTTTCAAGGGTAAACGTTGGGATCGACTTGAAAAGTGAACGAACGTCTACAACGAAGAAGACACGCTTCATTTTATATAGAAAGATCCGAGAGTTTGGAGCTCTTGTTGCTTTTACGAAGCCTAACCGAACTCAGGCTTAAAAAAAATCCAACCTCAAATGTTCGTACCAAGAAAAAAATTTAGATCACCTTGAAAATGCGATTGATCTTATTTGTAACTTCAACTTTACAAAAGTTTCTGGAATGGCATTAACAATTTTAATTTTTTATTTTTAATTAACCTATTTTTAAGTTATCACTCGAATTTTATTAAAATTAAGTTCACTAACTAATTCCCCAACCTGTACTTTGTTCTCTCTTTCCTTTGCAGAAAGTAAAATTGACGATCGATTTCCGCATCATCATCGGTTTCGCTTGTACTTCAACGTGAAGAGCATACCCACCGAGGAGAAGCTGAGAGCTGCCGATTTGCAGCTATCACGTGAAGCCATCAGCGATGCAGTGCTTAGCGAGCGTCTCGCGAATCGAACAAGTTATCAAGTGCTCGTCTACGACATCACACGAGTGGGTGTGCGTGGCAAGCGCGAGCCCAGCTATAAGCTGTTGGACAACAAATTGGTGCATTTGAATAGCACCCAAACAGTGAGTCTCGACGTGCAGCGAGCGGTGAATCGGTGGTTGGCAACACCGAAAAAGAATTACGGTCTGTTGATTGAAGTGCGAACGCTGCGTACGCTCAAACCTGCGCCACATCAACATGTACGACTGCGACGTAGCGTCGACGAGCCACACGATAGTTGGCAACACAAACAACCAGTGCTCTATGCCTACACCGACGATGGCAAACATCGTATGCGTTCGGCGCGCGATGCAACCAGCAGTTCGTCGCGTTCGAAGCGCGCCGGTCATCATCGACGGGCGCATCGTAGGAAAAATAGTGATGAAATATGTCGACGACATTCGTTGTATGTGGATTTTGCGGATGTCGGCTGGAGTGATTGGATTGTGGCGCCGCCGGGCTATGATGCATTCTACTGTCAGGGAAAATGTCCGTTTCCGCTAGCCGAACATTTGAATTCGACAAATCATGCGGTCGTGCAAACCTTAGTCAATAATCTCAATCCGGGAAAGGTACCAAAGGCCTGCTGTGTGCCAACACAGTTGGAGGGCATATCGATGCTCTATCTGAATGATCAGAATACCGTTGTGCTGAAGAACTATCAGGACATGACGGTGGTCGGCTGTGGGTGTCGGTAATAAGGCGCTAATGTGGAAGCAATAGCAAGAAAATAAGTTAAAAACAGCAATAACAGTAAAAAATACAATGCTCGTAACGACGAAGGCAACAGAAAAGCAACCAGACGAATAACTGTTGATATTCGCAAGAACGAAATCAAAACAAATGCAAAATAAACCAGAAGCCAAACCAATGTCGTCGATGGCGTATTACGAATACATCGACCAAAAATGATGTGTCCGAACGACCAGTGTATGTGTGTGGGTGCGTGTTCTTGCATGGGTCAAGTCATGCTCCGACTGATAGTTAAAGAGAGAACGAGATAACACATTCGTGTATGCGAATTGGTGAACGTCAATTCGTCAATAAAGCGGGAACGAGTGCGTAAAAGAGAGCAAAACTAATTAACGATTAGCCGCTATGCCTTTGCCAAAGGACGAAAGGTCAGAGTTCACTCAGCGTACAGAACTTCTCTTTCTCCCTCTCACACACACACACACAAACCAAGTGCACACGAGCACACGCATCGGGAGCGCAGACGCGAGAGCATTAAATGCTGGGTTTCAAGCCGCTTCACGCTTTAATAAGTTTAAATTTTATTAAACGAAATGCAAACAAAATGGACTGAATATATGAATTTTAAGTATACATTTTAGACTTTATTTCCTAAAATAGAGCAAGTTAATAAGTGAAACATTAGCAAAGCATAGCGCAAGGCTGGAGGAGTTAACAGACAGTTGCACACGCTCTAAATAAAAGCAAGATCAAAACGACTGTCACAATTGACAGCCAGGCTGCCAAGACGTTCGACAGTCGTTGAGAGAGAGAGCGCGCACTTACCACCGCAGAGTAGCAGACACTTCGTGATCGCGCAAGTAGCCCGGCAGAGACAGCGCTCGTGAAAGTCAAAAGAAATTTAAGAAAATATCGCAAGGCAGCGAACGAAGGCGTTAGAAAATGAGCGCACGCCCTTATATACTCAAATATATAATATATGCATGTAAATATATGGAGTAGTATATGCTATGCTTGCAACGCCGCCACCACCGTTCAACCTACGAAGCATCACCGCCGCCACCGCCGCCGCACAACTGCTGATGTTTCTACGGCGCTGCTGAGCATATTAATACAGCCGCGTACTACGCAACATAGCGCGTTGCCAACTATTGTGTGTCATGATAGAGTGAATGTCTAAAACAAACTCTGCGCAGACGCAACTGAGCTAGCTAGCTGAGGTGTAAAAAACCATTTGTACAGTAGTGTTAGGAAAAAAATATTTTTATTATTAATTTTAAATAAATTAATTAAAATTAATAAATGTCTTGTTAATAGTTTTTATTTTTAATAATGTACCATGTAATATGTGTAAAGCGCAAAAAATAGCATTTGTTTTTATATTTTTATAATTAAATTTTTCATTTTCGTTTATTTTTTTACAATCGAATTGTGTCATTCGTAGTCACTGTAGCTGATTTACAGTTGAGTAAGCGAGTCAGAAGAAAAGATGTGAATAAATTATTCAAATTGATATTGGGAAAAAGTGCTTTTATTAAAAAATTCCATAGAAAATTATACGACTTGCGCTTTCTTTCGAACGAAGAGAGCACGCAAGTGCATATACCTAATCAACGCTCTGTGTACATATATATGTATACATTTTTATATATAAATGTTTGTATGAAAATTCTAATTGATTATCGAGATTATGTTAACAAAAGCGTAGAAAACAAAGCACCACGAGAACAACAACAACAACTAATACAAACTACATATGTTTGCTGTATATGTATGTATGTATGTATGTTTGTTGTTGTGGCTGCCGCACGGCGTGGCAAGCGGTCAGTTGCCCGCTGTAGCCGCGCACCGTTTTGCAACACAGTCCTCGATTATAATGGAAACTGACCTATACTACTTATTATTACATACCTATGTTAATGTATATGTATATTATTTTTAAATTTAAGTTTTTTAAGCAGTTTGTTTTTAATTATACTCAAATTGTTTGTGCAGTTGTGTGACGAATATGTTGATACTATTTTTAAATTAAAAATTATGCATAACTATTTTGTAAAGTGTTTTTTCTACTATCATTTTATATATATTTATGTATGTATATATGCATATGTATACATGTATGTATGTATAAATGTATGTGTATGTTTTCCTAAACAATTTTGCAATCATAAAACAATTATTATAAATATATATAAATTTTATTATATATAAATATATAGAATTTTTGTTTCAAGTATACTATAAACTACGATAAATATATGTGTATGTATGTAGTAGTTTTAATAATATTATTTTAAGTGAACACAATACTGAAAATAATGATGAAATGTTATAAACAACACTCACACACAAACAAAGCAACATAAATAAGCAAACACACATTTTTATTTATTTCTAAATATATTTGAGAACAAAAAGAAAACGCGACGAAAGAAAGAAAAAAATATAAAACAAAATTTTTATACAAAAAATAAATATGTGCACATGGTTTTTATTTACTTGCGATAGAGTTGATGGAAGAGAGGTGAAGTTTTGAGGAAAATTTTCACAAATAAAATAAAATCTTAGAAAACACTTTCAAATTCTTAAAATTATTGCATATAATTTTGGTAAGGAAAAACCCCAGAAAAGATGTTGACTTCGACTGCACCCTTCATAGGTGCATTTCTTATGGCATAAAAGAGTAATAAAAAGTTCTTTTTCTAGATTGTGATCAATCAGTTTGTATGGCAGCTACATATATGATATGGTGGTTGGATCTGGAAAATCCGCTCGAAAATTGTGGCAATGCCTTTGACAAAAGTTCATGCCGAATTTCGTGAATATATCTCGTCAAATGAAAAACTTTTCCATACAAGAACTTGTTTTCGAACGTTTAGTTTGTATTGCAGCTATATGCTATAGGGACTCGATCTGAACAACTCTTCGGAGATCTTAGACAATAACATATGCTATATTAATATTGAAGATATGTCGTGAAATGGAAAGGTTTTCCATACAAGCTCTTGGCTTGTATATGCCATAGTGGTTCAATATCGACGGTTCCGACATATGTACAGCTTCTTGAAGAGAAAAGGACGTGTGCAAAATTTCAGACCGATATCTCAAAAATTAAGAGACTAGTGCGCATAATACGTCATCATTTATATACATTTTTTATAGGGCCTCCAACATTTCTGTTACAAACTTCTTGACAAATTTAATATTTCTTGCTCAGTACCATATGATCCTCGGAGATGAGAAAAATAATCGAATTATAATAGAAAATTTTGATATTCAAAAATAAGAAAGTTTAAAGTAAAGAAAAAGGTTAGCTGAACGGCAAAGCTGAGGGGCTGGCAAGGAATTTTCAAAATCCTTACACAGGAAATATAATAAAGTTCCGCTGTCTTCTTGCGCTTTACTACTGGACGAGTCGTTCCGTATGAGCTTCGCAAGCGCTGATCGACCCTTAATATTTGCGTGGTCGAAATATCCTTCTGACCCGTGATAAATCGGCAGAGGTTCAGTGAAATCCTTGTCCCGAGTGAAATTCAACATTTGTTAGTTGTTGGAGTTCTAACCGGTCACTGTCTAATGGTCTTTTTTGCAGCGAAGTCCAAATATTTCCGATCTCATTACTTTTATCAATATGAATGGCTTATTATAGGCGCAAGGTGCTTTTTCAAGTTAAGTCATCTTTAATATTGAAGTTTTTGGAACGATAAAATATCTTTTTTCCTGCAAGTGAAAATTTCGTATCGAAGCTCAGCCTCAATAACCTACATTGACGTTATTTAACTTTTTTCATGCGACAAGCATTCGATATAACAAATGTGCAATTATGTACACTGTTACGAGAAACTATTTACTGAATTTTACATAACGGTCTGACAAACTGCATTTCAGCTGGAATAAGGTTTTGTGGAGGAATGTTTGTAATCATATTCTTTGGGAACTGTCAAGTGCAAGGTTCGATAAACGTTGCTTAGAGGACTACATCAAAAATCATCTTGGACTTTTTTAAAGAGAATTGTTAGAGAATCACCTGAGAATGTGTAGTATCGGATAAGAATAGTCAACTGTATAATTTTTTTTATTTCTGTAACTCATAAGCATGTTAAGCCTTGTTTTTGGTTGAATTCTCTAAAGCTAAGTTCCCAGTCTCAGCGTGCAATTATTTTCCTTATCTTACAACCACGTATGCTACACAAAGTACTGGATTATATTTATCTGACAATTCTCTTTTACATATACAGCACACTGGCTGCCTTTGATCAGCCCAGCTTTGTATATTATAGTGACAAATCGAACAAGCAACTGGTATAAATCTATTATACTGGTATAATTAAAGAGAGGCAGAATAAAAACTAAAGCAGAGAGTGCATAAAAGATGTTGATTTCGGCGCCTTAATATAGGCTATAATTATGCATACATATAATCTAAGAGAGTTATTTTAATAGAAGTAAGCGCATATATTACTACCAATCCATACTATATTTGAGAGCATTGTGGTGCAATTAAAAGTGTAATATCTGAATCTCTCGTGAATGAGTATATGCAGTCTTGCGATTCACTATTTAATAACACCTTCCCCTTAAATACAATTTTATATATTGTAGATAATTATAAATAGAAAACACTTACCTTTAACACCCTTTCAGTCGTCTGCATACTCAACAAACTAAATTCGAACATTGCTTGGGTATTTCCTTGCCTTCATTTCCGGCTCAAAATATTTTCAAAACCCCAACATTCGCGTCGTGTCATACACACAAATAATTGAGAGCCTGAAAAATAAAGGAAAATAACAAGAGAAATCAATTACATGCGTACTTCCATTAACAAATTACAAAATTACAAGACAAAACTGCGAGATAAAATAATTATTGCTTACAGGAAAACACGAAAAAAACCACAGTAAATAAAAGTCATTGTGAGTGTGGAAATGGATGAAGAGAAACAAGGAAGCCGCACTTTGCTTGCCCACTTAAATATTGATATTCAATACACTCGAGAAGATCAATTGATTGGCGAACAAAGGAGCAGCAGAATGAGAAGTGCAACCGTTTCGGGCGATGAAACAACACGCCGGCGAACGCTGCTGTTCCAAAAAGCAGCAGGAGCAAATGTAACACCCGAAGCAGCAGCGGTAGCAGCGACAGCAGTGGCGTTGATGGCAGCGCCCATTCATATTCATTCAATAAAATTACATAAAAAACTCACAAGTCAAGAAGATGACTTGCAATAAGTTAAGCACATTTGTATGAAAGATATGAGATACCAGATACGAGATGCTCGTCAGTCAACAACAGCATGATGAATATCGTTAAAATATGGATAAAAGATGATCTGCGCAATGTGTTTTGTTCAGCCACTTCACCGTCGCAATGGACCGACAGGCCAGCCAAAGCGAAATGCATAAATGTGTCAGTAATGAAACGCGACGGAATGACCAGCAGGTTGAGGCCAGCACGCCAGATGTACGGATGGGCGGAAGAAGGACTGTTGCTGTTTGCGAGGGACTTTCGACAGTTTAATTGGAGTGAAACGTCAATACGAAGCTGCATAAATATGAGAAAACAGTTTGTTGTGTGTTGTGTTAACGGCTGCTGAACTTTGCAACTTGAATTAGGTCCTTAAACGGTAGCAATAGTGGTATCGCCAAGCTTTAGGGCAAGAGTTGTGGGCTTTCGTTATTAAAAATAGCTGGAGTAGTATATAAGACTCAGTAAATGCATTGCCTGAGCATAAAATCAAGGACATTTTTGATTAGTAAGTAATTATTTAAAGGAAACCAACGAGACAGCTACGTTTATGTCTGATGTTGGTATTCAAAACTTTGAACAAAGCTCTGCTATATAATTCTTTTTCTATTGCCCGCAAATTAAATTAATCCGTTACACAAGTTGAGACATTTAATGCAGCTGACGGAGAGTTTTGAGTATTCTGTAAGAAGAGTTCTCTGCAAGAAAACTGCTTTAAGGAGTAGCTTTCCAGAAATAAACATAATGAACTAGTAGCCTCAAAAAAGTAAGTACAAAAATTGGCGAAATTAGTTTTTTGATTTTTTTCTTCGAATATTTACGAATATACATTTTTGAGAATACAAGATCGCAAATTTACGATTTTTTTTTTCGATTTCGAAAATTTACAAAATAAATTTTTCGATTTTTATTGTTTTCGGTTCGAAATTTTTCGAAACTATTTTACGAGTTCGAAAATTTACAAATATACATATTTGAGAATACAAATTACTATGTAAGAGATATTTTGCTCGATTATTTTTCGTGTTCGAAAGTAATTTTCCACTTCGAAAATTTACGAAAATACATATTTGAGAATACAAGATACTTTGGATAGTTGTTTTTATTTTGCACAATTATTTTACGTGTTCCAAAGTAGTTTTCCAGTTCTAAAATTAACGAAAAAACTTTTTCGATTTTTATAGTTTTCAGTTCGAAATTTTTCGAAAATATTTTTAGAGTTCGAAAATTTACGAATATACATATTTGAGAATACAGGATACTTTGTAAAGGTTATTTTTCTCAATTATTTTACGTGTTCCAACGTAGTTTTCCAGTTCGAAATTTAGGAAGTTATTGTTTTCGAGTTCGAAAATTTATGAAATAACTTTTTCGATTTTTATTTTTATTTCAGTATGACATTTGGTCAAACTAATTTTCTATTTCGAAAATTTACGAAATGCAGTTTTTAATTTTTACTTTTTCAGTTCGAAAATTTCAAAAAATATTTTTTCGGTTTCGAAATTTGCGAAATTACTTTTTTGATTTATATTTTTATCAGTTCAAATCGGATTCGAAAATAAATAAATTTTCATTTTCAAAGATATTATATAATATGACACGATGTAAGCTATCAACCTGTATATACAAGAGTAAAAAAAATTAAGAAAATGAATCAAAAAGTTGAATGAAATGACATGTTAATCACTAACAAATATAACAAGACACACACGAATTCGAAGAGTCAAGTACATTTGTGCACAGGCACGCATACAACACTCTAAATTATCCGCAACGAATGTGTGCGCTCTGATGAATATCAAGAATTTTCCACTAAAAGTAGACAAATATATGTATAACATTTTACCAAATTGTTAGCGCCAGCAGTCAAGCGTGTAAAGTAAACGAAAATAAGAACAGAGAAACGGAAATCAACTGACACACTGCAACAGAGTGCACTCACAAACGCACACATATGCATTTGCGCTACAATGTATTAGTGTGAAAGGGGCTTTTGCTAAGTCGTGCTAAAGTAGTGCTTAAGCAAGTGCCTGTGCATTTGTAGTGGTGTGCCACAGCTGAATAGCGCCATTTCGGCTAAGAACGCTGAAGTTAAGTTAAGTTGAGCTAAGGTAAGCAAGCTGTAGTTGTGGTTGTGCTTATGCTGTGAAGATGAATTGAAAAATGATCACGCATAAAATATGTTTAACTACCATAAACCGTATTTTTAGGCGTGTTTGTATGTACGTATGCATGAATTTATATATGTATGCATGTCTGTATGTTTATACGCACGATTTCTTATGATATAAAGTAATTATCCCAAAGCTGTCAGTTATTTCGGTTACACATCCCCTTGCACCTAAAAAAACATATACGAGCACACAGATATATTTGCATGTGTGCGTGGCGCTTAGCCTGCATTCATCTCCACGCAAGCGCATTTAATTCACAGCCTCAAATTGCGTTGTATGAGTGTACCTGTTTCTCACTGAAAAAAAATTTTTTTTTGTTAATCATTAATGTTATTGTTGTTGTTATATTTTTTGTTTTTACTGCCTATGAGTTGCCCTTTTTGTTTTTGATTCTACAAAAGTACCCACATCTAACTAATTCTTTGACGGTAATTGTTGCCGCTTGTTGTATTAATGTTGTTCTTGCTTTATTGCTGTTATGAACATCCTAATTGGTGTGTCAAATCGGTGTAGATTTTTTAAATTCTACTTTGCATGGCGCTAAGGCTACACAAGTTAAATAAACAGCGCATGAAAACAATAAGAAAGTAGGAAAAATCAACAGGAAAACATGTTGCAACTGTTGTCGGCGGCACACGCTTATCAATGGCATATGGCAACCCTGTAGGAAATTATTGATATATTACATATTTCTATTGTAAGAGCTTGAAGCAAAAACACATTTTTTTAATTTGTGCAACTTATGAAAGAGGCTTCAAAATACCAACAAAACTCTGAAGAGGAGAAGGTTAAAGAAAAGGAAAATAAAGAGAAAATAAAAAAAAATAAATTAACTTCAGTTGCACCGAATACCCTATAATACCCTTTTCAAATGAAAAAATTCTCAATACAAGAACTTGATTTGGATAGTTATACTATAATGGAACGGTCTGAACAGTTTGTTTGGAGATTGTATCGTTGACTTTCACACTAATTGATGTCAGATTTCGTGAAGATATATTGTGAAATAAAAAAGTTGTCTATACAAGGACTTAATTTTAAACGATCAAGTTGTTAGACAGCTATCAGCTATAATTTATAGTGGTCTCACATCGGCGGTTTCAACAAATGAGAACGAATCTTGAGGCGAAAGAGACGTGTGCAAAATCTTAGATTGATATCTCGAAAGCAGATGGACTAATTAGCGTTTATAAATCGACTCAGCTCGTTAGGCTGATCTTTTATATACGTATTTTATAGAATTTCCGATGTTCCTTTCGGTTTTATAAATTTCATGGCAAACAGTCCTTTGGTGGACTCTTTCATTCCGGACTTAGACGGTTAGATTAGGTTAGGTTAAGAAGCCGAACTCGCACCTAAAACTCCTATGTAATACTTGTAGGTCATAAGATCCTTACAAATCGACCAAGCGCTTTGCGTCTATCACAAATTTGTTGGGACGGCTAATGTCAGTTTCGGCTATGTCTGCCGAGATATTTCATCCTAAACCTTTCAAAGGCTGAACAATGAAGGAGAAAGTGCCTGGATGTTTCTACCTCACCCTCCTTCATAAAACTTTGACAACATGCGTCCGTCAAGATTTTTAATCTTATCACAACAATGCCTATTGGACAATGTCCAGTAAGAACCCCTACTAATGTGGCAAGATGAACTTTGCAGAGTAGCTCAGCAGATCTCCCGCGATCTACTCTTGGCCAAAACGATCTTGCAGTCGCGCAGGGGCCGGTAGTCGACCAGCGCCTGTTAAGCGTACGCGAGATCCATTGGTCCAGTGTTACAGCGCAAGATGCCAATGGAGATCCAACTCGGTCTCATTCCGATGCGAGCGTGGCAAGGGTGCCCTCTCTGACTAGAACATCGGCTTTGCAGTTGCCAGCGATTCCGCTAGCACGGACGAAATGCAAAAATCGTTCAAATCCACATTCCTACGGGCTTCTTTTGGAACTATTTTCGGTGGAAGCGTTTCAATTCATATATTTGACAAGGTACAATAATATACAAATATATAGTATATGGTATGTACAAAAAGGAAAAGGCATCTGCATGTCAATGTTGGCGGTCTCATGCCTTCTGCGCCCACCGCTGTGCCTCGAACCTTTCTCAAGCCATCGCACACTTAACCGTTGGCTTATCTCGATTCACATTACTCGTAATTTTGTTGCTTTACTTAAGCTGCCGCTCGAGCGCTGCATTACTATACTCTGCCGTGCTAATTGTCTTTATGAATTTATTTCATTTATACTCACATAAGTGTACGTGTGCATGTTTGTAGGTATGCATATGTATTTGTTTTAGTGTTTTTGTAGTGGCGCTAATACAGTCAATGCCGCACAATGCTAACATTTCACT